TGAATTTCGACCTTTGGCGGGCTCTCTGGAATGGATTAATCACGAAACTCGGGGGTCCACTGTACTATATGTATGGATAATTGTTGTATGTAGAACTGTAGTTATTCTTTAAAAAATGTATTTTTTTGTGAACATTTTTGTGGGTCTGGAAAGGATTAATTGGATTTACATTATTTCTTATGGGAAATACAGCTTTGACTTTTGGCCACTTTAAGTTTAGGCCAAGCTTCTGGAACGGATTACGGCCGAAACTAAGGGTTCCACTGTATAAACATAAGTAAATTTACTTACATGATTGGTGGTATGATGAAGTAAATGGTGTGATAAAAGAGAAAAAGCTGGCTTATGAGAGGTTTTTACAGAGCAGAAGTGTTATACGAAGAGTAGAGTACACCTACCATCCGACTTACAACCTGCTCGACATACATCCACTCGACTTACAACCGTGCATCTGGCTGCTGGGCTGGGCCGGCTGATGCACACCACTGTACAATATTTGACAATACTCACGGCGGCAATGCATCATGCAGGCAGCATCAGTTTGAGTAACCCTACCCTATCTGCAGCATCATACTGTATTAACTGTACTAACTGGACAGTAAATTTCATCATGGCCCCTAAGATGAAGACTGAATCTTGCTCTGGAGATTGTGGCAAGAAAGGCTCTTGCTCTCGAACTCTTTATTTGTTTTCAGTGTTGCGCATAAACCTGTCTGTATCTGTCTGCCTGTATATCTGTGTCTGTATCTCTGTGTGTCTGTCTTTCTGTCTACCTGTGTGTCTATCTTTCTTTCTACCTGTATGCCTGTCTTTCTGTCTGTGTGTCTGTCTTTATGTCTACCTGAGTGCCTGTCTTTCTGTCTATTTGTGTGTCCGTCTATGTCTAGCTGTGTGTGTCTACCTGCGTGTGTCTTACTGTCTACCTGTGTGTCTGTCTTTCTGTCTACCTGTGTGCATCTTTCTGTCTACCTGTGTGTCTTTCTGTCTACCTGTGTCTGTCTTTCTGTCTGCTTGTCTGTCTCAGAGCCACTCACTAAGAGTGTAATTGGTCTTGAAGATGCCATATTAATAATGATAATAACACAATAATAATCACTGAGGAGCATTAAATGTGTATAAAACGTTAATACAGTATAGACATTTTGCTTAATCCATCTATGATTTTTTTTCAAAATTATATAATAAACATGCTACATAACATATAAACATATAAATTAACAAATATGAGATGTTTTTCTGGTCGGCTTGGCAGAGTGAACAGAAACCATTCGTGATCGGGCTGGTAACAACAACAACAACAATGTTTGTTTACATAACTCGTGAAACTTCTACCCTCTCATTCTCTCTCTTGTTTATTCATTTAATCTTGTTTACTCACCTCTCACTCTACATTAAGACTAAACATATTTTAAGATAAGTAATGAGTGGACACGATTATTATATTATAGTTTAATAATATTATTATTATTAATATTAGTACACATGTATTATTGTAATAATAGTAATAATAATTATTAATATTATTATTAATTTAGGGCACTGGAGAACAGATCCACTGTATAGCACTTTGTCTGGATTTTTTAGGTTATCCTAGGTAATTTATACTATGAATGATAACTTTACTTAAGTGAGAGAGAGACAGAGACAGAAAGAGATACAGAGAGATAGATACAGAGAGAGAGACAGCCACATTCAGTCAGCCAACCACCCAACCACCCACCCAGCCACCCTCCCACCCGGCCAGCCAGCCAGCTCCGTATTACACATGTTCCAGAGTTGCTTCTCTTTACTTAGGGTACAGGTTATACTACATTCTGGCAGGATGACACTACCAGTGGTATTCTCCCATCCCACTGTGTCGACAATACATAAAGATAACAGTAACATATGATACTGTATGCAATGTAAAATTTACAATACAGTTCACTACCATGTATACATTATATACAGTACATAAATAATTATAACAATAGAAGTAAATTATGGTAAAAAATTATGAAATAATGATTGTACATTACATTACAGTACTGTGTAGGTAGTTTATATAGGAAAAGTTTGACATTATGCCCTACCCAGTATGTCGGCAATTTTCAAAGGTTGGACTTACGTCCATTTTGACTTATTACGACCGGTTGGTCGGAACCAAGCTTGGTCGTAAGTCGGATGGTAGGTGTATATGGAGAGTAAAAACAAGTGAAGAGAGTGGTGAGAGAGTGCAAAAGGAGAGCGGATGATAGAGTGGGAGAGGCACTGTCAAGAAATTTTAATGAAAATAAGAAAAAATTTTGGAGGGAGTTAAACAAGTTAACAAAGCCTAGGGAACGAATGGATCTGTCAGTTAAAAAACAGAGTAGAGGAGTTAGTAAATGGGGAGATGGAGGTATTGGGTAGATGGCGAGAATATTTTAAGGAACTTTTAATGTCAACGAAGAAAGGGAGGCGGCAATTTCATGCACTGGCCAGGGAGGTATACCATCTTTTATGAGTGAAGAAGAGCAGGATGTAAGTGGGGGAGGTGCATGAGGCATTACGTAGAATGAAAGGGGGTAAAGCAGCTGCAACTGATGGAATCATGACAGAAATGTTAAAAGCAGGGGGGAGATACAGTGTTGGAGTGGTTGGTATTTTGGTTTAATAAATGTATGAAAGAGGGGAAGGTACCTAGGGATTAGCAGAGAGCAAGTATAGTCCCTTTATATAAAGGGAAGGGGGACAAAAGAGATTGTAAAAATTGTAGAGATATAAGTTTATTGAGTATATCATGAAAAGTGTAAGGTAGGGTTATTAGTTAAAGAATTAGAAGTAAGACAGAATGTAGGATTGCGGATGAGCAAGGTTGTTTCAGAGTGGGTAGGGGATCTGTAGATCAAGTGTTTACACTGAAGCATATATGTGAACAGCATTTAGATAAAGGTAGGGAAGTTTTTATTGCATTTATGGATTTAGAAAAGGCATATGATAGAGTGGATAGGGGAGTAATGTGGCAGATGTTGCAAGTATATGGAATAGGTGGTAAGTTACTAAATGCTGTAGAGTTTTTATGAGGATAGTGAGGCTCAGGTTAGGGTGTGTAGAAGAGAGGGAGACTACTTCCCAGTAAAAGTAGGTCTTAGACAGGGTTGTGTGATGTCACCATGGTTGTTTAATATATTTATAGATGGGGTTGTAAAAGAAGTAAATGCTAGGGTGTTCGGGAGAGGGGCGGGATTAAATTATGAGGAATCAAATACAAAATGGGAATTGACACAGTTACTTTTTGCTGATGATACTGTGCTTATGGGAGAGTCTAAAGAAAAATTGCAAAGGATAGTGGACGAGTTTGGGAGTGTGTGTAAAGGTAGAAAGTTGAAATTGAACATAGAAAAGAGTGAGGTGATGAGGATATCAAATGATTTAGATAAAGAAAAATTCGATATCAAATTGGGGAGGAGGAGTACGGAAGAAGTGAATGTCTTCTGATATTTGGGAGTTGACGTGTCAGCGGATGGATTTACGAAGGATGAGGTTAATCATAGAATTGATGAAGGAAAAAAGGCAAGTGGTGCATTGAGGTATATGTGGAGACAAAAAACATTATCCATGGAGGCAAAGAAGGGAATGTATGAAAGTATTGTAGTACCAACACTCTTATATGGGTGTGAAGCTTGGGTTGTAAATGCTGCAGCAAGGAGGTGGTTGGAGGCAGTGGAGATGGCCTGTCTAAGGGCAATGTGTGGTGTAAATATTATGCAGAAAATTCGGAGTGTGGAAATTAGGAGGTGTGGAGTTAATAAAAGTATTAGTCAGAGGGCAGAAGAGGGGATGTTGAGGTGGTTTGGTCATTTAGAGAGAATGGATCAAAGTAGAATGACATGGAGAGCGTATAAATCTGTAGGGGAAGGAAGGCGGGGTAGGGGTCGTCCTCAAAAAGGTTGGAGGGAGGGGGTAAAGGAGGTTTCATGGGCGAGGGGCTTGGACTTCCAGCAAGCATTTGTGAGAGTGTTAGATAGGAGTGAATGGAGACGAATGGTATTTGGGACCTGACGAGCTGTTGGAGTGTGAGCAGGGTAATATTTAGTAAAGAGATTCAGGGAAACGGGTTATTTTTATATCGCCGGACTTAAGCCCTGGAAACGGGAAGTACAAAGCCTGCACTTTAAAGGAGGGGTTTGGGATATTGGCAGCTTGGAGGGGTATGTTGTGTATCTTTATATGTATATGCTTCTAAACTGTTGTATTCTGAGCACCTCTGCAAAAACAGTGATTATGTGAGAGTGAGGTGAAAGTGTTGAATGAGGATGAAAGTATTTTCTTTTTGGGGATTTTCTTTCTTTTTTGGGTCACCCTGCCTCCGTGGAAGATGGCCGACTTGTTGAAAATAAATAAATTAAAATATAAATAAATATATAAATATAATATATATATATATATATATATATATATATATATATATATTATATTATATATATATATAATATATATTATATATATATATATTATATATATATATATATATATATTATATATATATATATATATATATATATATATATATATATATATATATATAAACATGGGAAGCGCTAAACCCATAGGGATTTGGGCGTGTTTCTTTCCACCTGTTGTCTATGTTCCCCATCAGTAAAATGGGTACATGGGCGTTAGTGGACTGGTGTGGGTCGCATCCTGGGACACTGACCCAATTTGCCCGAAATTCTCAGCACAACAAGCGGCTTTCTGTATAGTAGTATGTCACTGTCAGCTAGGACTGTATACCTTGTACATGTACTTGTAGTAAATATATTATTATTATATTATATTATTATTATTTATTATTATTATTATTATTATTAAGTTCTTCAGTTCATCTAACTGGAGCATAGACCCAATTCCCCAGATCAAGAGCCCATCACCAGCGTCAGGGAACCTCCCTTGAGGGAAACGTCAGGTAATATATTTATAATTGTTGAAAACAACTAGTTAACTATCTAGGAGGACGTGGAATGTCACATAACACTTACCATTGAGCCTGTCATTATCGCACTGTCAATAAGAATTCCCATTTTGTTATTGTTGGGTATAAATATTGAAAGTTGAGGAGCCGTGAAGACACTACCATCAACACCGTCAACGACACTTACAATGAACACGACTCAAATCCATGGAAAAGTCGTCCTAAGTAAGAAGGAGAATGTAGAATATAACTTTGGTATAACTGTGTCTAGCATTAGGAATAATATTAGGAGAAAAGTAAATAATGAAAATGGTTGTTATAGGAATGCAGTTAGAAGCCTGAGTAGATCTATAACCCACTATGATAACATGAACATAGATAAGTATGTTTATGGAGTTAGTTTAATATGTTTATTATGCACCCCATACCCATCCTGTGGGCGGTAGTCAAAAGATTACAGAGGTACATAATTGGTCCAGGGACTGGACTCCAAAGTTTTGATAGCTGAGCAAGTTACAGAGGTAATGAACTCACAATTTACAAAGGTAATGAACTCACAATTTACAAAGGTAATGAATTCTGTAAGAATGGTTACTTACGTTTATACATGGCAACAATCATGAACAAATTATAGTGTAATGAGCAATTCACACTTCCACACCCGGTCACAACTGTAATGAGTTATTGGTGCAAATATTGAATGTTGAGTCCACACACACACACACACACACACACACACACACACACACACACACACACACACACACACAACACACACACACACACACACACACACACACACACACACTGGCTGAGGTGGCAAGAAGAGCTCACTCGAGCAGAGCAAAGTTACTGGTAATGGGCGATTTCAACCACAGGGAGATCGCGGGGAAAACCTGGGCCACATGGGGGTCCCAAAACATGGAGAGCCAAGATGAGGATGTGGACTTAAAAACCTCATGCATCAACATGTCGGGGGACAAACCAGAGAGGGGGGGAGGTGACCAGCAAGACTGGTCTTGTGTTCACCCTGAGCAGTTCAGACATTGAGGACACCTTACAAGGGGCCCCTTGAGCTGCGATCATTGTTTCTGAGTTTTGACTAATAGTAGAGTTACAAGTGGGAAGGAACGGGAACTAAGGGGACAGGCCAAACTAAAAAGGGGGGGGCTACACGGTTGAGAAATTCCCTGCAGGAGGTTCAGGGACAGAGAAAGGTAGGAAAATCAGTAAACGAGATGATGGAATATGGGGAAAACAAAGTGAAAGGAGGCAGAGGAAAGTTTGTTCCCCAAAGGGGAACAGAAATAATGGGGAAAGCCCAAAACGAGCCCTTTGGTTTACCCGAAGGTGTGGGGGAAAAACAAAGGCAACAGAAATGGAAAAGGTACGGAGGCATAGGACCCAGGAAAACAAGGAATTGTAGAAGAGCCAGAAACGAGTTGCGCAGAAAAGGGGGGAGGCCCAGCGACAGATAAAACGACAAGCATCGAAAACAAATCTGACCCGAAACTGCTGTATGCCACTTGGAGGGGCAAAGTCAAGGACCCGGTGATAAGGCTGAGGAAAAAAGGTGGAGAACTCACAAGAAACCCATCAAGAGGGATGTGAGGGGTCAACCAGATTTAAGGAAGTATTTTCAGTAGAGACAGAAGGGCTCTGGGGGACAGCCAGATGGGGACACCAACAAGGGAAAACACCAACAAGTTTGGACGACATACATACAAAATGAGGGGGGAGTGAAGAAACGCTAAGGACATCGATACCTCAAAAGCAATGGACCAGACAACATCTCTCCGGGGTCCTTAGAGAGGGACAATATGTTTGCGTACCCCTTCCCCCAATCTTTAACACTCCCGGAAACTGGGAACTACCTGAGGTTTGGGAAAACGGGAAATGAGTTCCCCTTTTTAAAAAAAAAAGGGCAGAAAAGGGCCCCAAACTATAGCCTGTCTTGACGGTATAGATCAAATTTGGAGAAATTTTCAGGAGGAGAGTGGTGGGGACCTGGAACGGAACGGAGTATAAAACCAACCACCGGGTTCACGGAAGGCAAATCCCTTTTTCACAAACCTTCTGGGGGTTTTATGAAAAAAACAGAATAAGACAAAAAGAGGAGGGGGGGGTTTATTGACTTCTTGGACGCAAGAAGGCCCTTTTACACAGTTCCTCACAAAGATTAGTGCAGAAAAGCATCAGGGGCATATAAAGGAAGGGCACTGCAATGGATCAGAGAATCCTTTACAGGGGGGCAACAACGAGTCATGGTACTAATGATGTTCACAGGGGCCCTGGACGAGCGGGGGCCCCCAGGGGTCGTCCCCAGGACCGTGCTATTTTTGGTATATGGAACGACATGACGGAAGGGTTAGACCAAGTGCCCCCTTTGCAGAGAGGAAGTTAATGAGAAATTAAATTGATGAGGACCAGGCAGGCTTCAAAGAGACCTGGACAGCCCTGGACACCGGGTCCGGGCAAATGGTTTCTCAAATTTTAAATTTCCTGCCAAATCTTCATGAAAAAAAATTAGGGGAAAGGGGCAAAAGAAGACCACAGACAGATATAGGCAAAGGGGGCCAAAAGACTGAAAACCCCTCACTAAAGGGGAAAAGATTTTGGGGGTGAGAAATAAACACCGAGAAATGCTCCGGAAGCACACATCAATCAATAACTGGCTGCAGAAATAGGGGCGCCTGGAAAACCCCTGAGAAAAACTTTTCCCCCGATCCCTTTGTAAGGAATCATTCAAGACACGGGTAAACACCGTGTATGCCGGGCCCATACTGGAAAATGCACCCTTTTGGAACCCGCACTTGATAAAGCACGTCAAGAAACTGAAAAGTAAAAAGGTTTTGCAACAAGGTTTTTTTCCGGGAAGCAAAGGGGAATGTCCTATGAAGAAAGTTTAAAGGGGAAAAATGGGCCTGACGCCCATGGAGGACAGGAGGGTCAGGGAGACATGATAACGACATAAAAAATACTTCCCGGGGGGAATAGACAAGGTGGACAAAACGGGTTTTTCCGGGGAGGGGACCAAAAAACAAGAGGCCAAAATTTGGAAGTTGAAGCCCAAAAAAGAGTCAGAGAGATAGTGGGAAGTTTTTCTTCAGTCATAATTTGAAAAGGCACGGAATACCCCCTAGAAAAATATAGGGGAGGCAGGAATCATCATTTTTTTTAAGACGAGGTTTGAAAAAACCCAAAAAGGACCGGGGGAGAGGGGGGCCCCCATTAGAAAACCGGTAAGGGCCGGGCCGGAGCTGGGAAACTCGCCCCTTGGCAACCACAATAAGGTGAGTAAAACACACACACACACACACACACACACACACACACACACACACACACACAACCACACAAAATACACTCAAAACACCACACTCACACACACAAAACCACACCCCCACAAAACTCACACACACACACACACAAAAACACACACACACACCAAAACACACACACACACACACACACCACACACCACCACCCCACACACACACACACACACACACACCCCCCACCCCACCAACACACACACACACCCCACACACACACACACACACAGAAGAACAAAAAAGAAAGGAAAAAACTGAAAGAGGGGTACAAAGGCAAAGGGAGGAAAAAAGAGGGGAGGAGAAACAAAACAGGAATCCCAGACCCAGGAAGAGATCAAATACAGCCCCCTCCCAACTTCCAAATAGAACCTTTCCCAACCAGGTCAACCCCAGTCCCAACCAAACACCCCTAAATAAAAACACCCATCCACTTTCCAATCCCCCCAACCCACTACATTACAAACTCCCCCCCCCCCAGCAACAACCCATTTTTTCCTTACCAGGTCTCCCCTTTTCCCAAAAACCCCAATATACCTCCCGGGAAAAAACAGCCCTTAAAAAAGAATTTGAAGGTGGGGGGTATAAAAATGCAGAGGGAAAATAAAAAAACAAGTTGAGGAGTGGAAACGAAAGAATCAAAGAGACTTTCCCCAAAACATAATACCACTCACAGAAACAAAACTAAACCAAAATTAATAACAGTTTAAAAAATCTTTCCTTTCCGGATATAAACTCCTCAGGAAAGACAGAGGGGGGAGAGGGGGAGGGGGAGTTGCACGCCATTTAAAAAAAACCAGGGGGGGTTTTGAAAAAAAGGGAAAGGGAATTAAAAGGATGGGCAAAAGGGACTACTTAGAAAGGAACAACCCCATCGGAGGGACAAAAAGGGGGATAATTGCAGTAATGTACAACCCACCACAAACTGCGGGAAGGCCAAGAGAAAAAATACGATAAAGAGCAACAGAGCAATGATCCACACTAGCCGAGGGGGCCCAGGAGAGCACACATGGGGGAGCAAATTTTATAGTTATGGGGATTTAAAACAAAAGGAGATTGACGGGGAAAACCGGGACCCCCAGGGGGGCCCCGAAACAGGGAGACCCAAAGATAAAGGATTGGTACGGGAGAACCTCATGCATCAACATGTTAGAGCCCACTACCAGAGAGAAAAGGAAGGAAACCCCGCAAGGTTGGCCCTTTGTATTCCCCATGAGTAGTTCGGACTTTCCGGGGGTTTTCATTTATAAAGGCCCCTGGGAGCTAGTGATAAATGTGGTTCTTTGCTTCGACTACATATTGAGCCCCAAGGGGAGTGAGTAGCAGGAATAGGCGGGGGAAAAAAAAAAAACCTACAAATGGGGGGAAACAAACTCACCCATGAGGAACTTCCTTAAAACCCTTTCTGTGGGAAGGGAACTGACGGGAAAAAACCAAGGAAAAACAAGAAATAAAGGCTATGTAGCAAAAAATGAAAGGAGGAAAGGGGAGAGGTTTTTTTTCCCAAGGGAAACAAAAATTTAATGGGAAGAACAAACGAGTCCTTGGGTTCACCCAAAAGGTAGGGGGGAAAAAAACTGGGTTAACTAGAGAAAAAAAAGGAAACAGAAAACAGAAAATTTCAGGAAAAAAAGAAATGGGGCCGAAGAGCCAAAAACGAATATCACAGATAAAAAGGGGGCTAAGAGACAATTTTAAAAATGACATACATCAAAAGTCAAGACTAAATCCAAGCTGTTGCCACCACATCAGGGGGAAAAAACAACATAAAGGGACCAGGAAAATCAGACCGGGGGGGGGTTGAGGGGGGAATTTCACAAGAAACGACCGAGAGGTATGCCCCAGGACTCAACACAAGATTTAAAGGGGTATTTACAGGGGAAAACCATGGGATTTC